GTGACTGGGTTTTCCCTGGATCTTCCGAGGGTCTTTTTTTTCTACACTGGGCGAAGAGACCGCTGACATCATCAAGGCCAAGGCTATGGAACACAAATATTTCAACCACCGTCTCCCGTTCTCTACACACCCTACCGGTATCTCCCACATGCACTCGAGTACACATGGTCGCATCCACACGCCGCTCCCTTGCTCACACAAATCTTTGGTATGTAACAGCAGACCAACACACATCAGGGCTCTCATCGGTGACTGCTGTACGAGCTGGGCGTGAACTGAATATCGGGTCAAATAGAATAAAATCGTGCCAAATTATCAATTTCAATACTACCGATAGAGGGGGAAGATCGGAGCTGTGATCAGGGTTGTAGTCCCGAAAACCATTGCTATTGTGAGCGAAAAGTGGCCGGGGACGATAGTCTCCTTGCCGCTCCTACCTCTCTACCTTTANATTAAAAACCATCCCGGTCTCTCTATCCAGTACCTCCTTCTGTCTCAATCTCTCCGTACTAATCCATCACTTGACTCGGCCAATTTCCGTGGTCACAGGGTAACGTACCTAGAAAAGGTATCCACAGCTCAATTCGGTTCGATAATGTCGCATTAAAGAGTCATCGGAGCTGGGAAAGGAGCTCATTCGTGGCTGTAGTCACATAAGATGCCTGAAAGTGAATAGTATGAGACTGTTGTCTCCAGGTTCGCGTGTGAGCAAGTTCCCTTAGGGATGGGCGGTGTGGATACACANGTGAAGTACTGATGAAAAACATGAGTTAAATGACTTGGGCCGAAACGTACGGCGACTGCCATCATTCAACGAACGCTTTGTGTTTTGTAGTTATGAAATTTGGAACGTGTCACCAAAATATCTCATCCGAGCATCGATCGTACATAGCGCAGTCACCACCACAGCTTGCACGAGAGCAATTCAGGAATTTTGGCAACTATTCCCGTACGACGAACGAATAACTACACAGATGACGAAAGGTGTACGGAACATGTCACTTCAGTCCGCCTCGCTCGGCGCTGTAGGCAACAGTGATCTACCGTACGACGAACGACGTGTGTACAGAAAAAAACATCATTCCGGTGCGCGTCTTGCACCGATAGTGTAAAAAAACTGTACAGT